AGGAAACGTTCTTACCAGGCAAGCGTACTTATTATCATATATTCACCTACACTCGTGTTGAGATCCACCTGTCCATCTCTGAGAAAGAGGGAGACGGGGTCAAAGGTATCCCAACCGTTCCTCTGCCCTCACCTGGGCGTGATTGATGATAAACATCAATACGGTGCTCTCCCGAATTTTCATCTATATTGGTTCATTAAGCTTAATATAGGGTATAGTGTATTGGTATTCGAGTAGAATGGACGTCGTAGTGTTATTATTCGATAGTAATTAAAAATTTGATTTTCGTGTGTTACTGACTTTTACATGTGAGTTCGTATCGAGTTTCTATCCTCGTTGGGATGGGTCAGTGTGAAAATATATGCAAATGGTCAACATCATGTGTTGGTGATGACAATATGAAAATTCTGAGAGGAAATTTCGGCGGAATCGTTGTAAACCTCTGTAATTAGTGAGGAAGTTCCTGAGCTCAGCTGAGGAGAGCGAGCATATTATTCCAGTACTGTGATGGGTGAACGATTTTGGTTATTTTTATATGTAGGTGGTCATTGTGGTAACCACACATCTCGATGCTGGTCATGATCCTGATGTCAAGTTAGCTCAATTGGTAATGGATTGTGAAACGACGATTATGGGTGAAATTGTCCCGAATTCGGAATTTTTCCCTCAGAAAGTTGTCGTCGATGTTGTGGCCTTTCTGGAGAAGGAGTGCTCATCGAGGGGACTTCATGTGGCTGCAGCAGCTATGACTGGCGATTGGAACATTGATGGCACTGGCAGAGATCATGGGGCGCGCGCTAAAGTAGTAGAACAAATGTAAATTAGCAAAATTGTGGTGCAACTACTGTACACCATTCCATTCCGCCAATAGTGAGTTCATAACGTTAAACAAGATTTGTGGTTGAAGAGATTTGTAACACCGCATCAGCGTATAAACTATCTCGGCACTTGGACGAGTTGAAATGAGTGCGGGAGAAGGGCCTTGTATGGACTTTACCTTCTTATAAGGACAGAGCTTTCGAAATGCATCATTTGTAGATTCAGACTTATATGTAGC